AAAGCTGTGTTTGTAAGAAATGAATCCGTCATTAAGATGTTTTAACTTTAAACCTTCGCTTCTGACTAAAATATGAGTTCATAATAACGCTTCCTCCAGTGAAAAAGTCCATCTTCTATTGTTCTCTCACATTAAAATCCACCAATATATTTGTTAATAACTGTATTGGACTGTTTTCACTTTGTAAACGGTGCTTGGTCTGTGCATATTTCTCTCCTGATTCAGACAAGATGATTGTTTCACTTGAAAAAGCAATATTATGGATAGTGGACTGGTTTGAAGTTAACGGCATCTTAATTATGGATTTGCTTTTCAATTCAATTCAAGATGTTAATTGATGGACTGGAGTGGTGTGGATTATTGTGGTGTTTGGACTCTCATTCTCACGGCACCCATTCACTGCAGAGAATATATTGGTGAGCAAGTGATGTAATGCTAAATTTCTCCAAATCTTTTCTGATGAAGAAACAAACTCATCTTGGATGGCCAGAGGGTGAGTAAATTCGGCAAATTTAAATTTTGGGGTGAACTATACCATAAATATTTCAATCCATGACCCGCGCCAAAAACAGACCAATCTCTACTGCATGTTCTGGGGAAAAAAAATAAAAATCATGTGGTGAGTGAGTCGTGTTGTTGGGAAAGAAACAAGTCTGTTCAATATAAAAGGAAAGAAAGATACACGTAAAGGTGAAGGAGACATGTAGTGGCACAGTGCATAATTGAATTCTTTTCCAAGAAATGAGTGTATTAAACCTTGGAAAAGAGTCACTGTTTCCAAGAATTAGAACAAGATGGCCAATGTTAAAATCATCAACGCAAGCTACCTCATAGATTTATAGAAAAGACTCCACTCTTCAGCTATACTCATAGTGCATGAGAGGGGATGTAGAGCTCTCATGTAGGTTCTTCTGTTCCATTCTTCCTCCAGTTCCATATGTGTGGAGAAGACCAGACTGTTATTGGGCCCATTATAGAGGATAATGACTTATGGGTGCTTCCCAGTGCATCATAAATGAAGAGCTGTGTGTGGTCCTGTTTGGTAACCTTTTCATCCGAAATAACGAGAGCTCTCACATCTGTCACTGTTATTTAAGCCCCACCTGCTGTGAATCTCTCACTGCAGCACTGATGCTGCACACCTGATAGACACAAGTGCTTTCTGTTATTGTTGTGGCATGTGATTAGGTTTTATGACATCTGTGAGTTTGGACATAAATCAGTCTGGTTCACTCGAGTATCGCAGTATTTTTCCGAGCGCCATAGCAACAGACACGGCACTTTATCTTCTGTCACGGGGAGTTGCTCCATGATCAATTATTTATAAAATTACTGCATGATAGCAGAGGATTTCAAAGACTTCAACAGCTGATAGGAAGTCTAGATAGATAGAACAGACTATCTACCATTCTGTCTGGTTGTCATTTTATCTGTCTGTCTGTCTGTCTGTCGTTCTATCTATCTATCCATCTATCTATCTGTCTGTCTGTTCGTCGTTCTATCTATCTGTCTGCCTTCATTCTATTTATCTTTCTGTATGTCTGTCATTCTGTCTGTCTGTCACTCTATATGTCTGTAGTTCTGTCTGTCTGTCGTTCTATCATTCTATGTATCGCTATGTATGTCTCATTCTATCTATCATTCAGTCTGTCTGACTGTTGTTCTATCAATCGTTCTGTCTGTCTGTCTGGCGTATATCGCTCTGATGTCTGTCATTCTTTCTCTCTGTGTCTGTTGTTCTGTCATTCCGTGTCTGTGGCATTCTATCTATCATTCTGTCTGTCTGTCTAATTGTCATTTTATCAATCATTCTGTCTGTCATTTATCTATTGCTCTGTATGTCTGTCTGTCTGTCTGTCTGTTGATCTATCTATCGCTATGTATTAGGGATGCACGATATTAGATTTAGATTAGATTAGATTCTGATAACGTTCCAATAATATTGTGCATCCCTACTATGTATGTCTGTCTGTCATTCTACCTTTCGTTCTGCTTGTCGTTTTGTTATGCTGTGTATGTCTGTTTGTGTCTGTCTGTCATTCTCTGTCTGTCGTTCTGTCTGTGTCTATCATTCTGTCTATTATTCTGTCATTCTATCTATCGCTGTCTGTCTTTCATTCTATTTTTCATTCTGCCTGTCATTCTATCTATTGTTATGCTATGTCTGTCTGTTTGTGTCTTTCTGTCATTCTAGTCTGTTGCTCTGTCTGTCTGTCTGTTGTTCTATCATTCTGTTTATCGCTATGTATGTCTGTGTGTATGTCTCATTCTATCTGTCATTCAGTCTGTCTGTCGTTCTATCTATCACTCTGATGTCTGTCATTCTCTCTTTCTGTGTCTGTCGTTCTGTCTTTCTGTGTCTGTCTGTCTATCTATCTGTCTATCTGTCTATCTATCTATCTATCTATCTATCTATCTATCTGTCATTCTATCTGTCATTCTATCTATCTACCTGTCTGTTGCTCTGTCTGTAGTTCTATCTGTCTGTTGTTCTATCATTCTGTTTATCACTATGTATGTCTGTGTGTATGTCTCATTCTATCTGTCATTCAGTCTGTCTGTCGTTCTATCTATCACTCTGATGTTTGTCATTCTCTCTGTCTCTGTCTGTCTGATTGTCATTCTATCAATCATTCTGTCTGTCATTCATTTATTGCTCTGTATGTCTTCTGGGTCTGTCTGTAATTCTATCTAATTCTATAATTCTGTCTGTCTGTTGTTCTGTCTATTGCTATGTATGTCTATGTCTATCTGTCTATCTATCTATCTATCTATCTATCTATCTATTGCTCTATCATTTGTCTGTCGATCATTCTGTCCTGTCTTTCTGTCTATCAGACAGTCTTTCTATCTGTTTGTATAGACAGATAGACAGACAGATAGACATGGGATGCACATTATCCAGCACAGTAATATTCTATTCTGAACATGTGTGCCTTCTATATGTTTTTTTAAAGGTACTGTTGTAATTAACACCTCACCTCTCTTCCTCATCAAGCTCATCATTAGGAGCGGGTCTGTGTGTAATTGCCGTGACGATCTGACCCCTCTTTGGCATTTAGGAGCATGAAGCACATGATTCCCTGACTGCACTGCTTCATATGCCTGACATATGCTGCGCTTCAGTGACTGTTACAGACTCAAATGTTACCTGCCATCCAATGCCTTCTGCACTGCAATAACCTCAAATCCTTCTCTGGAAGGGTTCATTAAAAGCAGTGAAAATTAAATGTTAACTTGAATGTTAAAATACTTTTATCTCAGAATAAGATGTAGAGACAACTATAAAGACAGCTATAACGAACGTGAATTCCAATGATGTCATTCCGCTGTGTTGTTATCATTATGGTTGTCATGTGGACAACTCTATTCTTATAGAATCTGAATGATAATCATGTATAGTTATCGTTATAATTATCATCCTTGGTGTGAACGGCCTTAAGTCTCTGCGGCACTACTAAAACTCTGCTTTTGTTTGTCCGAGTATCGCAAACAAAATTGTCTCAACCAGTGGTGTGAGTTTGGGGCAGGAATTTGTTTGTGCGACCAGTGGCAGATGGGAGTGTTTGAGAAACCTGAAAACAATTATTGCACGTCTGTTTAGTGACGCCAATGCGGCAGAAACACGTCAGCTGTAAAAGAATAATGTGTCTTGTTGCCGTCTTTTTGTTGGTCACTTGCAAAAAATCCTCACTTCTTACCTTCAGAAAGACCTGCAGATTATTAACTAGCAAAATAATAATAATAAACATAACTTTGATGCTGTAAACCTTGGAACATGTAGTGCTTGGTATAATTTTTGTGACAGATGTTCATTGCATAACATGATTTACCCAAGTACATGTTCTTGAAACAACATCTTTTGTTGATCCTGAAACTATTTTGACTCAGTCATAGCCCAAACCCTTCTGCTCGCAAGTCCTAGGAAGCGTCTACTTAGCAGTTTAGAAGTTTAGAAAAAATGAATGTGTTGGGCAATTTCAAGTCTTTTTTGTTTTTCACTTACTGGCAAAGAACAAGCTTTTTAGTGGTAGTGCAACATAATGAAGAGCAAATTGCATACATTAGGGACTTCTCTCAGTAAAACAAGAACAAAATGAATCTTTGTGTAAATTCAAAAATTCATGAAAATGTGTTTTTAAAATGATATGTGGTGCATTAAAATGTACACTTGCTCCCAACCATGTGGAAATAATGTGTAAACAGTGCATCTTGACATCACTATAAAAAAAAATATAATAATACAATTGATTTGTTTAGTCAAATGTGATTATGAATTTCATTGATAAAAAAGATGATCTAATAAATTATTAATAATATAGATTACTATTATTCTGAGCTAGTATTTGTATGCGAGTTTAACACTTTAGTAAAATCATTTTAGATAAATATGGACAAATATTCTGTCTTTATGCAGTATAATGGAGACAGAACTAATAATGGAGTTCAGAAGATCCCACGGCATTCCTGTACATGTATGAGTGGAAATCATTAATATGCACGTTTAACTATCAAATCTGAGATTATATCATTTTTCCTGCAGCCATTGCCTAAATTAGTACATTTTTTAAAAATGTTTCATAAAAATGTATTTTCCTCAGCAACAAAATGCATGCAAACTCATTTTAGCATTTGTAACCAAATTAAAATCATTTAAAAATAACTAATCAATTACCAATTACCTAAAAATTAAGATCAGAAAATCCCACATTGTACAGCTTTGGAGACACAATATCCTCTTGTGCTATACTTCCATTTCGGCTCTTGGAGTGAGTTTCAGATCGTCAGCTGTTGATAACCTTCAGCCTAATTGCAAATTAAAGTGTCAGACTTTCAGGTGCTTCTGCATTTGCAGTACAAACCAAAGCTCATTTGCCACACAAGCACATTCCATTGTAGTAATAAGCGGGACTGAATTCTCATTAAGTCTGAACATTTTTTTTCCTCTCAATGAGTATCCTTAAGGCAGATAATTGAGTTTCCCTATCTTGTGTTTGCAGTGGTGTATGTCTGCTGCAAGTGGGACACGTTTCGCAAGCTGATGGTGGAGTTCTTGAGGTTGGGTTTTCCTCAGGAGGAGTACGCCTTCTTCTTCATCGATCTGTTTGGATACAGCCTGCAGAGCCAACCTGCCAAACCATGGGCACGTGGAGATGCTGATGACAATGTGGCCAAGAAGGCATTTAAAGTGAGTTTGATGTACATGCACTGTAAAAACAAAAAAAAAAAAGTCTAATTTATGTTTAGAAAATTATTTTGCTGTAAAAGATACAGCAGCAACATTTTAGGTTTTATGGATTTAACTTAAAAAAAATGAAAATTCTATATTTTTTTTCTCTGATTTAATGTTCATTGGTGATGTCTGGTTCACAAATGAATCGTTCATCTTAACTGCTTTGGTGAACCACTTCACCAAATCGGACTGAACCATCTGAAACTGTCCAACATGTTGAGGACTATATGTTTTTGATGTCTTTTGCTGAAAAGCATAAAGTATAACAAAAAAGGTATTGGAAATATAGCAGTGATCCGATGGCAGTTTTATATCAACAGTAGAAGTCTGATAATGATTCTCTGTTTAGTCGCGAGTCATGAGTTTCTCATGGTTTATGTAAAAAGGTGAGTTGATTAAGACTAGTTTATTCACTTTATATGCTTTTAACATTTGAAACATCAGCGTTTCACATCATTATTGGGTGCAGTAATAATATAATTACATACTGTATGCGTGACGACAGTGTGTGGTAGCGTTAATTTTGTTAACAAAAACTATGATGAAAAATGTTCGTTGACGAGTTTTTTTCCCATGATTAAATTGAGACGATGACGAGATGACAATAAGGTCAATAAACGATAACTGTTACTATATCAACATGCAATATCGTTGATGATAAAAGACAAGACTAAAATGTATTTTAAAAATAAAAACTTTCTTCAAAAAAGAAGACAAAATATTGTGGACATGTTTCTGCTATGCGAGCATTCATGTATGCGGTTGCCAGATATCAAAAGTTCAAATCCCCAAATCAGGGCTTCTCTGTTAAAAGAATACTTTTTCTGTCCGGTGTTTTGCTTAATTTTTGCAATCTGGGAAAAGTATAAATAACCAGGTAGGTAGGTAGGTAGATTCAGTGGTGAGCCATAACACTCCTGACACTCTCCACAGTTTTCTGAAGGAAATGCATAGGCATATTCACTGCGAAAACATATTTGTGCAGATCTTTGTTGATGTGATTAGTAGCCAGCTGCAGCTGTTTCCCCTTTTCAGATAGAATCAGACAATGCTGCGTTTGGCTCAAGGTCGCAGAGAAATATGACTGGATATTTGAAATATGCGGAAATATGACAGCTCTGGAGGTGCTAGTGAAGGTTGTCGCATGGCTGCATGTCTTCATGTGGCTCACTGCCAAACGTCACCCCCTACTGTGCCTGAAAATGAACTTTCTAAATGTTTATTTAGGCTGAAACAAGACCATATCGCACATATTTCTGTTAGCTATCTGAATCCTTTTGAACATATTTTTGGAGCAGTTAATGTCACTGCAGGTAACTGATTGAAATGTGTGTGTGCTGCTTTAAAAAGCTCATTTTAAAATGGAAAGATGATTACATAAAAGTCGTTACCTATAAAATTGAAGGTTTCATAGAATCTCACTGTCAATTTAGTCACAGGAGTTTCAGGAATGCATATATAAAATTATTTTTGATTTTCAGCTTGCTTATCCTTGCTTCATATCATACAGCTTGATAAAGAGAGGTGTTATTACTTTATGTGCAACCAAACTAAAGAGTTTCACCTTGTGGAGGATAATATGGGCGGAAAATCCTGAAAAACTGATGCCTTTAATCTGAATAGAGATGTGTTGTGACTGACAGGACTAGGTTTTTTTCACTCTAAGGAACTGCATTATAATGAGTTCTCACACAGACTCGCAGAGGGTCTATTAACATTCATTGGCATTAACTAACAGCTGTGGTGAGCTGACATTTACTTACCCACAGACAGGAATCATTCCATTAGGCTCATGATACAGCTAACAGTTGGTACAGCAAATGATTTCATCAACTGTTTGCATCAGAGTTGACTGTTCTGTGTTTGGACATTTATGTAATAAAAGCTGAAGACTGCAGTGCAAAGCAAACATGCTCATCAAGCAGTTGGCCAAAGTCATGAGAAAGCTTCATTTTGTTAATTTTGTTTCTGTTAAGACTGACACTAGCTTTAAAGTCACCATGCAATCCAAATTCACAATTAAAATTTTGTATGGAATATTGCAATCTTTATTATATATGATTTATCCATGCAACCATTTTTTTTTTTAATTCATATGGTCTTGTAATCTTTAATCACAAACATTAACATCTGGGCAATAGCAACCTGTCGCTAACATGAAACCATAACCATCAGACAGACATCTATCTATTTAATAGAGTAAAAATGACATCTTTCTGAGCTCCACTGGAACTTACGTAAGTACGCAATGAGGTACACATACCACTGAATGGGAATCAGTTATTTAGACCACCAAAATAACAACAGACCAACAAACAAAAGAAGACTTTTAGTCACATTTTGGTCTTATTATTGTAACACTGATATATAACAAGGGACAATAACTGCCAATAATATGTGAGTAACATACAAAGATTCACGTTTGTTGTAAGTTGTAAATAAAACGAGAAAAAGAAAAGAAGAAAATACTTCTTCAGAATTTCACATTGCTAGTTTTACTAGCAATTTCTGAGAGAAAATTGTTTCAGGCAGGAAAATCTTTTTAAAAGCTCTTGCTGAAAATCATATTTACATCACTGTAACGTTTTGTAGTATTGCTTGCCTATTTTGTCATTCTGTGCTATTGAAAATCTTTCAGAAGCACTCTGTTATCATCAGCTTCAGCTCCCATATCCCTGTCCACTTCACATGAATCATAATCTGTTATACACAATCTTCAGAGGACTTCAGAGGACAGATACAAAGTGAAACACCATGGTGGCTTTTTCTGAGTTTAAAGATGTAAGAATGCATGCTTCCCAATTTTCAGACAATAGCCTTTTCACTCAGATTGTCGTAATTTGGCAGTTTATGGCACAGATGCAAAAGAAATTGGCACAAAACAGTTGGAATTATTGTGAAATTGGACATCAATGGATGACATAAAAACATTTTCTCAGAGGAGGTGACCATGAAAGAGCGAAAACAAATGCTACAGGCTTTGTGGCGGGAGCTGTTGTTAGTTTGTGCCACCTTTTTTAATTTAAAAGCAGACATCCAAACAAGCCGAAAGAAAAAGCACTACTTAGGAAAGTGCTTTTTAATGTACAATAACAATTTGAAATAATTGAATATTCATTAGTGGTGTTTGCTGTCCTGTTTGTTGTCCTCTACCCTGGACAGAATTGGTTTTGTTAGACACACACACACACACACACATCTGCATACACATACTGTTGTCTCTCATGGTGAAGGTTTCCTCTTGCTGGTACCATCTATCTTTAACCCTAGAAAGTCTACTGTATCATATGTGATACGCACATTTCTGCAGTCTCTTAGGTCATCAACCTGACCAAACTTTGCTGAAAAGTTTCCTACAGAATCTACTCTATGCATTCTGTTGTCTGATACCTTTTAGTATAATCTAAAAATGTCCACCTTCCGGTTGTGGTTCATGTGTCTTTTTACTGTGAAATCTTTACTGATTTATATAATGATTTTGGCCATACAAATACCACTAAATTGCATATTTTTGCTCAGTTTTGATCTGAATAGAATGTAGGTGTAATTTTTTCTCCTTGAGTATGAGCTCCATATTCTCAATACATCATACTATATGAGCCATAAAAGCCTGATGTATCAAATATGATACTCAAGAAAAAACACACTTTTTTAATAAATGGTTCCATTAAAAAATATATTTTTCTGACTACTGTTTCATATGTTAGGCTTTACAGGTTTGAACAGCACAAAAGAACAGCAAATTATATAAATAAATAAAGTCAATAAAGACTATGCAAACTCCACCACTTAATGTATCTGTCCTTGAGCTGATTTGTTGACTGGATTAGCTGAAATGTTCTGTTTGGCTGTGATTCATAGGTGTGTATCCTAACCAGTGTGAATGAATGAGCACTTTTTGTCTTGTACATTATACAACTCAAAATTTGCCTTTGTGTTGAATCCTCACAGAGCGTGAAGATCCTGACCTACAGAGAGCCTCAGAACCCCGAGTACAAGGACTTTGTGTCCAAACTGAAGACAGATGCCATGGACATGTTTAACTTCAGTGTGGAAGATTCTCTGGTAAGAGTTCATCAAATTGTCTTGTACTTGTACGTATATACTTGTAAATAAAAGAAGTACACTTTAGTATAATTTTAAAAAGAGTACTTATTACAGAAATAAATGCAGTAAAGTCTTGCACTGATTGTAAACAGATTTTTGAGACCCATCTCTGGAGACCAAACCACTGGAATGAGATTTCTGTTCTGAAATTCATTCCTGATGAGTTTTTGAAACCACACGGTTCCCATGTTGAATGAATGTCAATCCAGTGCACACATAAGACCCCAGTGACTTTGAAGCTTAAACAAGAATGAGAATGGTTTCTCTGGCTTCTCCAGACGCAGTACATTTCACCTTGTCTTAATAGATTACAGCTGCACACTAACTCTCAGTTCACCTCTGGGATGTTCTCATGAAGAATTACCCCAAGGTTTAGAATGAATTGCGCCTGCTTATAGCATTGTTTACTTGCATGCATTTTCTATATTGTTTTAGCATCCAATTCACTAAAGTAATTATGTAAATCAGATAAAGGCACAGACTTACAACATTAGTGTTGATTGCAATTTGCACAGGGCAATTGCTCCGCGTACAAGCTGGTTTTGAGTGTTAGGTTTTAAAAGTTGCAGCAAACTCCAGACACTTGAATTGATTCTTTAAACGCCAAAAGTAGTGAGACTGATAACATGCATCAGCATGTGTGCGATCCACCGGTCCAAACTTAATAAGAATGAGTGGGGAAATATATGTCCAAACAAGCATCCCTGCTGGAGTGATGAAACAAACTGCAATGACCCACAGCTTTCACACCACAGACTGACAATATAAGCTGCAACTTCAAGTGCCAAGCACAAACAGTCAGAGCCGCGTATCAGCATGAGCCATGGAAAAAACTGTGGTTGAATCCAAAATTGTCCATTATGCATGTATGTTCGATGAGACATTGTCAAAAAAAAGAACAAAGCAAACAGTTGTGAAACTGCAATGGTTACAGAACAAGCTTCATACATCCGGGCCAATAGGTGTCAGTATAGAGTCCAGAACCACTGGTACTATTGGAACGGGTGAGATGCAGTTGCAAGCAAAAACTTACTGAATAAGCTGACCGTATATCCTCCTTTGACCTGACATGTCCTGGCCAGGATTTCTAAATTGCCTAAAATGTCAAGGTTTTGGCTTTGTTTTGCTATTGACACATTCTCTACAATCCTCATACATTATGTGTGTGTGTGTGTGCGCGTTTTTGTGACAAATGAGGACATAAATTTGTATAATGACTTCTCTGTAGATCCCACCTTCTCACACACCACTATTGGTTGATTATGTACAATGTCTGCGTGTTATTGGTCAAACAACTTTTTAGTTATTACCTTAAACCACTATGAAAACAACAGTAAAACAAAGCCAAACCCTTGAAATTTCAGGCAATTTAGAAATCCCGGCCAGGACATGTCCAGGTAAAAGAGGACGTATGGTCACCCTATTACTGAATGCACCTGTAAATAAAAATCTGTTTACTAAATAAACTGAAATATCGCACAAGGCATGCTTGGGAATCTGGTGCATTTTATATTATGCCTCATTTGCGTAGAAATAAATATTTTGCCCACACTTAAATTAAAAATGATTGCTGCAACCTGTATCAGCCAAGTCAAGTCACATTTATTTGTATAGCACTTTTCACAATACACATACAGAGAAAGCTATGATGTAAATATTTAGCAGATTAGAGTTGACCATAATATATTTTACATTTTACGAAAAGACAAGCAATCAAGCAGGTAAGATTTGCTATATAGTATCACCCTATGGGCCAGTTTTATTAACAGCTTGCGCCAGCGCAAACCGTCTTTTGGCGTTAAAATAGTACTGTCAGGATTTACTAAAGATGCTCAGTGAAGAATTAGTGCTGAAAAGGCGTGGACAAAGTTATTTTTGTGACTCAAATTATTGAATATGCATTTGTAGGAGTTTCCCTTTCAGACGCAAAATGTATAGGAGGAGAGTATAAAAATGAATCACGCAACGCGATTTACTAACGTTTGCGCTCGTCAAATTACTGGTATTTGCGCCATTGTTTAACGCCCCAAAAAGCATGTCTTAAACTATTTTGCGCTTGAAAGGGCTGCAATTTTTGTTGCTAGGAGGAGGCACCGCAGAGAACAGAGAGCGTGTGGTAGAAGGGAGATGATTTTTTTTCCACACGTATTAATTTATTTGGAATGCCAGAAGAACACATTATCCGAACATATATTTTGCCAAGCCATGTTATTTTAAATTTGCTTCAGGAAATAAAAGTGACTTGGAACCCTCAACTAGGAGACAAGCAATACCAGGTCTATCAAAACTTCATGCATCCCTTCATTTTTTGGCCTCCATTTCTTTTGAACGTACTTGTAGCTTATTTCTTTATTCTTTATTTGCGACTACTCTAATTTGCATTGCGCTTGGTATATTGCGTTGGTCGATATGTAAATTAGATCATTTGCACGTTGTTAGTACATCACCCGCAGAAATTTACACATCCATCGGCGCTGTTTTTGGAATTGCGCTATCGCGCTAATTTGCCCTGTTTAGTAAAACTGGGCCTATGTGAGTATATGCAGATAAAGTTTTACCTACTTGTATATTCAAAGAGCTGGGTGATTATATATTTACGTTTTGTGATGAAATAATAATTGCATGTGTTGAACCTGGCTAAGATGGACTATGGTGTGAATGAGTATATTTGTTTAAATTAAATGTTTTGCATGTCAAAGTTTTGCTATAGTTTAATGAATTTACCGTTTTGTGTTTTTATTTGTGGCACAATATTCACTCACAGAATATCACAACTAATCACAACTTAAGTCTCATGGGAAGAAAGCTTTATATTTAGGTTCTCCAGAGGTTTTGGGGTAGAAAGGGAAACTGGCCCCCCGAAACTGAGATGACTGAAATGGTGGTTATTAGTCAGAGATGATTGAAGTTGCTGGCTCTGCTTGTTTGTGCTCTGACAGTAAATGTCACCCGGTACTCGCCCAGAAAAACCCCCAATGGATGTGTGCAGGATGAGTAACCTTTCACTGACAGTGGGGAAGAGTGGTAATTACCCTTAGCTGCAGGTCTCCTCGTGCGAGTCTGTCACCACACAGGAGTCTGTTAACTCCAGATCAGATCAGGGCTGGTAAAGACGTAAGCCCTGAATGAGCCTCCTGCCCACCCATCCTCTGAAGCTGAACTACAAGCTATTGAGTGTTTTATACAACACACCTACTAATGACCTTCTAGAGCAGGGGTGGGCAAACTTGGCCCTTCCAGGCCACTTTCCTTCAGAGTTTAGCTCCAACCCTAATCAAACACACCTGAACCAGCTAATCATTGTCTTCAAGACTACTAGAAGGCTACAGGCAGGTGAGTTTTATCAGGGTTGGATCAAATCTCTGCAGGAAAGTGGCCTGGAAGAGCCAAGTTTGCCCATCACTGTTCTAGAGGAACGGGTTCTGATTTGATCTCTTGTAATAATGGTGGTCCTTTCCAGATACATTTCTTCGCTGTTGGCTGTGAGATTTTCTGCTTCCCTTGAACTCTTTGGAAATATGGGTTCTTTCTAGCACCTTAGATTTGAAAAATAATCTTCTTTTAGGTTTTTAGGGCTCTTGAGTTCTTTATATGATTCTCGGAAGATTCACCAAGTAGTGTCATGCTGCATAATAGGTTCTTTGGATCGTTGTTTGAGTTTGTGGGTTATTTAGTGCTAATTCATCTAAGCATGTATTTATTGATTTATTTTTCATATTATTATTATTTATTATTATTTATGATTTATTTGACCCTTTTGTCTAAAACTCATGACTTCCTTCCATAGAACACAAAAGCATAACTTAAGCAAAAAGACCAAGCTGCTGTTTTCCATGCAATCTCAAAAGCGTCAAATTTTATTAAGTGGGCTGTTAATTTAAAACATTAATTTGGTGCAATTAATTATGGGAAAAATGCGTTGAAATGATTAATGCATTTAATGCACCCCTCCCCACCCAGACCTGTAATACACAGACCTGTACACACTAAAAGCTAATTTAATTATTTGCGTGAGTAGGTTACATACAAATTCAATGCAAATCGTCACTGGGCAATGCAAATAATGTGAATTGGGTGCCGCGATTGCCACGAATGCACGATATATGCCTCAATCGCGTCTTTCACGCAAGTTAAAAAATTTCAACGCAAGCAGAAAATTCACATGACACGTTATTCCACAAGCAATCAGCAAAGAGCTTATTGACACGTCCGGTTTGACACGTCTGGTTGTATCAGAAAATGAAGGAGAGCATTACACAATGTTTTTATTCGCATCACGTTATTGCTCTAGATTACTTGGCAGATGTTTTTTGTGTCACTCGCGTGAGTAAAATTATATTTTACTCTCCTCCATTTTCTGATACAACTGGACTTGTCAATACGCTCTTCGCTGATTGGCTTGCGTGACAACGTGTCGTGAATTTTCTGCTTGAGTTGAAATTTTTCAACTTGCACGAAGGACACGACTGAGGCGAATACCGCGCTTTTGCGGCAAACGCATCACCCCGTGTGAATTCACATCTATTCGCGTCTTTGCATTGACTTCGTATGTAATCTACTCGCGCAAATAATTACATTTGCTTTTGGTGTGCACGCCACAAGACAGTAACTTTCTGCCAACTACTGGCAGTTTTAGTTTAATATTTAGAGTATAATTTCATTTTTTTTTTTTTTATCATTTCATATTTCAATATTAATTAAAAACATTAATAAAAAACTTTAATACCCATTTTTATCATTATTTATGAAATGTTGGATCAAAATATTTCTTTCTAAAGCTGCATTTTGTGATGTCAATGCTTTTCACATTTAACACAATAGTGACTTTAAATAACTTTTTATGGGGTAATTTCTCAGCCAAAATTGATGTGCGATTAATTTGATTCATGTAGGCACAATGATTACATTTACATGGACATCAGTAATCTAATTATTTACCTTATTCTAAATAAGACAAT